GTTCATCCGATCACCGTTAAACTTTGTTTTGTAGTTCATTTGAACACTCCAGGGGAGATTTCTGCCATTAAAAAAAAAACTTGTATAATTTCCCAAGGGCAGCGCTCAGGGAGGGTGCGATTTTTCTCTACAGCCTATATATGAAAAATAAAAGCAGGATGCGATTCGACACCCTTCATCCGAGTGCCATGAAACTTTGGGAAGTTGTTTAGAATAATCCTGGGAAGGTTTCTGCGAATTATTTTTTTAAATTTGCAGGGTAGGCGCCCCGGCAGGGCGCGATTCGATTCTTCTCGTTATAAACAAATTGCGGTTTTACATAGTTCATCCGATCGCCATGAAACTTTGGGGAGTTGATTAGAATACTCCAGGGATGGGTTCTGCAAAAAAAAGGCAAAATTAAACGGAAATTACACCACATATACAGATAAAATATTCGTCATATATATTTCTCAGCAGAAAGTGCTCAACAATTCCTATAGATAGGAGAATACTTTACAATCACAAAGCATTTCTTCAGAGTTAGTTTCAAAATATTAACTTGGACGTTTTTAAAACATCTTTTTCTTAACATGTAGTCAATATAAAGTAAAAGTGTTTATTGATTTTTAAATCAAAATAATTTTAACAGTATAGCTATTATAACGTAGCAATCGTTTGAGCCCCTGTAAAGAAAAGGAATTAACTAAGGCAATTTTTAGCGTTTTTATTGTTATTACAATTCAATATTTTAAATACGACGACGTACACACATCTGACATTGATTGAAAATATGTATAAACATTTAATTTATAAACCATTATTATTTTGCTAGAATTATTATTTATACTTTGATAAAATGTATATAAAATTTTAATCGTATTATATAATCAGACAATTACACACATATGCCTATTTCCTTTAACATTTTCTTTTAGCAAATTAATTAGCAAAGACTTAATTTCCTATTTCTCGTTTCGTAATTGGAACTACTTAAACAAAATCGACTACACATATTACCTTTAAACGACAATTAAATCATTTATAATAAGGGGTTATAATGTAAAACTAGTTTTCTAGAGTAGATAAAAATTATACAAACAATAGTATTTTAATCAGTAGAGAATTACAAATATATTTTGATAATGTATTATTATCTGCAATTGAACACAATCATCTATTTTAATTAATAGTAAATAGTTACAATTTGAGTGAGAGGACAGACGTTGACAAAAAACAAACCCAGTTTAACATAAAGATGTACATTTTAAAACTATCTATAATGTTATACTAACTGAATAATTAGTAACCCAAATGTAATACATAAATGCACAACATATTTCAGTCAAACATATAGGATTATATTTAATGTATTTTGAGATTTAATAGAAAAATCTTATTTTTGAGATACTAAAGCTTTACGTCACATTGTAAATTTAAAATTGTGTACTAAATCATACATATTATATTGTTTCCTTCAGTTGTGGTCAAATAGTTTCAACTTCACTGCAATACACACATGTTATTGTATTATACATTTTTGATTTTATATATATATATATATATATATATATATATATATATATATATATATATATATATTTATATATTTATGTATATATATATTGATATTCTGTAAATTCAACTAGCAATTATTACTTAAAAAACACAAGGGGTTGAATCACGCATACTCTTTTATATACTTATTGAAAACTCATTAAGATGCAAGTTAAAAAAAAATCTTTTTAGAAAACACGTTTAATACACGTTGATACTATTCTTCGACATCGTATTAAAAAGGTATTGAATAACGAGATTGCTAAACATCAAATCATTCATTTTAACAGTCACTGTGTATTTTATACAAGCAACTCCAACTCGGCATTTGCTCATGTTATGTGAACTTAATATAATGTTCAGATAAATGTCTATTTTTAATTTTACACACAATGCGCTTGTAATCGCTTTCTGTTTGCAGATTTTAAACAATCCTAACTGCTGTCTTGCAGTTTGTTCTTGGTCGGACAAAGGCTATTGAAGCAAATCCAAAAAAAGCAGGCTGAAATCGGAGTCAGCGGCCTAAATGGCCGAAAGCAATAAAATAACGCAACGTTTAGTAGCTAAAGCTTTATTGACCGAAAAGATAATTGTTCCGTTACTTTTGCTTTACGCTTTTTATTAGACATAATTGTATAATTCACGTAATAACGGGTATTTCCGATATTATTTTGCAGAAATGGTACGTTCAAACATGTTGAATCAAAGATTAGTTTGACATATCGTGTCGCCATAAATTATCAAGTACACATGAAAAGTCGGTAATATTTACCTTCATCGGATATTGTATAAATAATGTAGGGTAAAATTAAATATGTTTATTATAAGAATCAATGGTTTTTTAAATTATTCTGATTACATTGAAACATATAAAACAATGTAAGCTAGAGGCACAGTTTATATATTTAGCCATTGATTTAGGTTTATTATTTATTTATCTATACTATTGACACAAATATATCACAATACAGTTCTATTAAAGCCTTGACATTGAGGTAAATTTTCGTACATTACTAATCGCTGGCGATTTTACGGACCTAAAACGATAGATTATCTTCCTTTTTTTATTTACTCCTAGTTTTTATACGATTATTAATATTAAAGTGGTATATATTATATCTTGTATGCAAATGTGTAATGAAATTGTTTATGAACTTGATGGATTTAAGAAATATTGAGGAATGCATTACCACGTCATGTTCTTGGAAATCTGAGTGAGTAGCATACGATTAGAATGATCTTCATGTGTTTTACATGTTACGAATATTTTCATAAAGCAGAAATAGTAGATACAAAATTTAAGTTTTATGTAAAGGTTTCATCTCTCAGTTACTTAAAACAAGTAATCAAATACTTTTTTCCTCGAGTTAAGCTTATTACTTAGATTTATTCACTAGTTAAACTGTGTAGTAAAATCTACAGCTGGAGGCTAACATGAAATTAAATAATCATAGATGATTTACCTTGACTGTCATTTAAAATTACTTTTACGTCAGTATTTTTAGAAGATTTTAAAGAATATTGTTTATATTTTTTCAGATTAAAACTGATTGTAAAATTACGCTTAAGAAAAATGCTGTTAATAATTTAGCACACAATGTTTTTAAAGATCGCAGGTTCACAAACTGGGTTTTGGTAGGGAGTTCTAAGGGTCCGCAAATTAAACATAAATATACAATGATTCAATAATATATATATATATATATATATATATATATATATATATATATATATATATATATATATATATATATATATATATATATATATATATAAACTTTACTAAAAATCACCGCAATGTTTTTGAACATAAAGCAATGCTTAATCTATTTTAACTTTGCTTAATTAATATGAAGTCTAGACGCAACTTTTATAAGTCTGCTTATCTCCTTACAAACACACAGTGCGTGTTAGAGAAATGTAGACCAAATCACTACTGTCCAAAGGTTTTTATCATCAGTGTGTTGTGTAGCGCATAAGTATGTATATCTAACCTTGGATTGATTGCTAACAGCACACTAGGAAATAAATACCTGCAATGTATTTCTTTATATTAAACCTTGTTGGTTTTTCTTTTGGTTTTTTTAAATTTATTTATGTTTGCAATGGTCGCACACATCGAGTCTCGCATATATGGGAAAAATCCTCCATTTATGATATTGTCATATATCTCTTACACTCTCACTAACCTAGTCAAATATACTTAAATGTGTCGTAGACATGATATATGATGTCGTCATATATATCTGAAAATCTTGCCTATTTGATATTGCATAACTGTTTCTAATAGCATTACACATTTTATATTGTTGCAATCAGCTGAAATTGTTTCATACATGTGTACTCGTCTTACAAATGTGTAATAATTTCAATAGCCAAATGTTGACAAGCTTGTGAATATAACATTTCTAATATATTATATGCTGCTACTCATCAATGGTAATGTGATATGGAATATGATGCCCTATCCCCTTTACGTGTCAACCTGGTTTGTGAAGCCTATATTGCAGGGATTTAAATTTAAAATAGTCTATAGAGCTTACAAGTCGTCTCGGCCAGTTCCTGCACTGGCCTCTTGAGAAAAATCTGTATAAAAAAACAAGATGTATGTGTTTATTAGGCCGCATATAGTTAGCATAAAAAAACACATAACCCTAAACCAAACTCTAACTTTAAACTTAACACTAACCACAACTAACCCAAACTAAAACACGAACACAAAAACAAAAACAAACCCAAACAAAACAATTGTACAAATCATTAAGGGAGTATGTAATTGTATATATGTGTTCATTAGTTTACATTTGTGATCTATTTATTTACATTATTAATAAGTAAAAAGCGAATACTATATCCACATTTCTTTATTCTTGCCAGCTTCCTGTTTTAAAAATGCATGCCTCTTATAAAAAGTAATTAATTGAGACAATGGGGCATTATTTATTACCGTAACCAAATTATTGTGTTCTACCATTTGCTTGTTAATTGACATGTATTACTCTTAATTTTATTTAGTATTAATCCTATCCATAGCTTTATAAATATTACAATGTATTTTAATATTCAACTGTTTGTTGCAGGCGGAAAAAAACTGTATATACAGATCAAGAGAGAATACAAATTGAGTGCAATTGTATGCGCACATAAATTCTATGAAATCGTCATTGTTGTTAATGTATATACGAAACCTGAATACATTTCAAATATCAATTACGCACGTTGAAGCTTCAATTCAAAATATAAAGAGCGATAATTTGTTTCAAAATCGATAAGAAAACGACGATAACATTTATTTTGTGCATTATGTGGATTAATATTTTGAGGATAATTACATGCTTTCTTTGAACAGTATTACTGAAGCATGTAATTATCAAGATGGTTAACAGCACATTTTCTCTGTTATAACATTATAACAGTATACAAAATATTGATTTGGACTTGATAACAATAATACACATCTAAAAATGGTTGCAGAAAAAAAGGTAAGCCTAGATGAAACAAATAAAAACGAAAACAATTCTCTGCTCGTCGCTGCGTCATGCGGTCACACAGAGGTTGTTGAATTGTTAATAAATAATAAGGCTGATATTACCGAAACAAATGCATTGGGAAGAAATGCGCTTATGGAAGCTTCCTATAATGGACATACATCAACGGTAAATTTTTTATTGACAAAATATGTTGAAAAGAATCAAAAGGATAAAAATGGAAACACAGCTGTTTTATTAGCTTGTAAAAGAGGACATTTGGGAAGCTTAAAAGCATTATTTAATAATTCTGCGAGTATTTCAGATGTTGACAACTCAGGATTTAATGCTTTACAATTAGCAGCGTCTGGTGGCCATGTTGAAGTTGTTCGCTTTTTATTAGATAATAATGTTGACATTCATTATGTTAATACATCTGGCAGAAATGCGATAATGGAGGCGGCTATAAATGGACACACCGAAACTGTTAAAATTTTGCTGACAAAAAATGTGGATGTAAATCTGAAAGACAATAATGGATCTACAGCGCTATTATTAGCAACTGAGCAAGGTCACCTAACTTGTATTAAATTATTGCTAAAAAGTAAGGGGAATTTATATGCTGTAGACAACAAAGGATGCGACGCTTTGCTGATAGCTGCCCGTGAAGGCCACACCGAAATCGTCTGCTTTTTGTTGGAAGAAAAACCTAATATTGAAGCAGTAGATAACCTGGGTCTTAATGCGCTAATGTATTCCTCGTATATGGGACATGTTGATATCGTTAAGATTTTGTTGACGCAGTCGATTAAAGTCTGCGAAAAAAATTCAATGGGTACAAACGCTTTGTTACTTGCTTGTTCGAAAGGACATTTTAAAATTATGGAATTATTGCTTCAAAATAATGCAAATATCTTTGATGTTGACAATAATGGAAACAATGCTTTAATGCATGCTGTAAAATCAGGTCATACAAACGTGGTTAAATTTCTCTTAGATAGAAATGTTGATGTAAACTTTATCAATAATAATAATGGTTTAAATGCTTTCATGGTAGCTGCTTTTATGGGACATTTTGAGATTGTTGAATTTTTATTGACAAAGTCGGTTGACATCAACATAAAGAATAAAAGAGGTACAACAGCAATGCTACTTGCTTGTTCAAAAGGACACGTGGAAATTGTAAAATTATTACTACAACATAAATCCAATTTGTATGATGTTGATAATAATGGAAACAACGCTTTCATACATGCTGCTAAAGGTGGACATACAGAGATGCTGAAGTTTTTGTTAGAGCAAAATAAAGAAACATGTGAGTCTAAGAGCAAACAAATCTTTGATGGTCCTTGCTATTTTCAACAAGATGGGTTTTCAAAAAGACAAACTTTAAATATTAATGAAAAGAATGTTGATGGAGTAACTGCTTTACTATGTGGTTGTAGAAAAGGACATTTAGAAATTGTAAAATTATTGCTTCATCATGGAGCAAATGTATCTGATGTTGAAGTAAATGGAAAAAATGCTTTGCTACTTGCTGCAATAATGGGGCACAAGGAAATTGTTCAGCTTCTTTTAAGTGAATATGGTGAAATTACCAATGTTCACAAATTTGGTAGCAAAACCTTAATGGCTGCTTCCTTTATGGGGCATGGTGAAATAGTTAATATTTTATTGCAACATTCGATTGATATTGATTTGCCTGATAAAAATGGATCTACTGCATTATTGATTGCATGTTATCAAGGACATTTGAATGTTGTAAAAATATTACTTGCACATAATGCTAGTCTGTCTGTTGTTGATAGAGACGGGTATAATGCATTACTTTGTGCCACAACAGGGGGTCATTTAGATGTGGTTAAATTTCTGTTAGACCAATGTGCAAATATGAACCCAATTGATAAACTGGGTATAAATGCGCTTATGATAGCTGCATTTATGGGGCATTTTGAGATTGTTGATTATTTGTTTACAAAATCATTTAATGTTAACGAAAAATGTAAAAGAGGCACAACAGCATTACTACTTGCTTGTTCGAAGGGCCATTTGAGAACTGTTGAGCTACTACTAAAGCATAATGCCAACTTGTTTCATGTAGACAATAAAGGAAACAACGTCTTAATGCGAGCTGCACAAAGCGGTTGCATAGAGTTGATAGAGCTGCTGATGCATGAAATAGAAGTTTCGTTAAACAATATTCAAACAAATACGATAAATAATGATCAAATAAAGTGCTGTGACGAAACAGATGCTTATGTATGTAAAAAGCATTCAATTATAAATCAAAAGAATGTCTATGGTGTTACTGCATTATTATTTGCCTGCACAAAAGGTCATTTTAATATCGTACAATTACTGTTTCAATATAATGCTAATCTGTATGATGTTGATAATGATGGAAACAATGCATTAATTAGAACGGCACAAGGAGGGAACATGGAGTTAATGAAGTTCCTTTTAGATATGAATACATATGTTATTTCTAATGACTCAAGTTTAACAACTCCGCTTCCGTGCACAACATGTAAGTGCTCACCCCAAAACATAGACAATCTATCGAAAAATGCCTTGAACATAAACGAAAAGAATAAACATGGTGTTACTGCCTTATTACTGGCTTGTTCAAAGGGACACGTAAAAACAGTAGAGTTATTGCTGCAACATAATGCGAATTTGTTTGATGTTGAAATAAATGGAAATAATGCTTTACTTCTGGCTGCAAAAATGGGTCATACAAAAATAATTGAGATTCTCTTAGACAGAAATGTTGAAATAAGCTATGTGAATAAATTTGGAAGAAATGCTCTAATGGTGGCTTCTTTTTTAGGGCATCTTGAGACTGTGAAACTTTTGTTGACAAAATCATTCAATATTAACAACCAGGACAAAAACGGTTTCACCGCTTTGCTGCTTGCTTGTTCTCAAGGGCATGTCAAAATTGTAGAGTTACTACTACAAAATAAGGCTAGTCTAAATGACGTTGATATTGACAGAAGCAACACTTTAATTCGTGCTGCACAAGGCGGACATATGGAGGTGCTGCAGTTTCTATTAGATAAAAATGTTCAGTTGAACTCAATAAATAAATTTGGAAGAAATGCTTTTTTGCAAGCTGTATTTATGGGACAGGCTGAAACAGTAAGCGTTTTGCTGAGAAAAACGAAGGAATTCGTCCTAAACCATGAGAATTTAGTTGCAGCAACATTACTTTCTTGTAGACTAGGGCATCTCCAAGTTGTGAAAACCTTAGTTGAACACAATGTAAACTTGAATTGTGTTAACAGTGACGGGTCTAATACATTACTATTAGCTGCCTCTGGTGGTCATACAAATGTGGTTACTTTTCTGTTAGACAATAATGTTGATATTCGTTTAGTAAACAGATTTGGTAGAAATGCGGTCATGGAAGCTGCTTTAAACGGACACACCGAAACTATTAAAATGTTGCTGACAAAGAAATTTAATGTAAATCAGAAAGACAATAATGGATCTACAGCGATTTTATTAGCCAGTAAGCAAGGGCACCTACATTGTATAAGGTTATTGCTAAAAAATAACGCACACTTAAATGAAGTAGATAATAAAGGATGCAGCATATTATTAAACGCCGCTTGGGGAGGACATCCAGAAATAATAACTTTTTCAATGGGCCAAAATTTTGACATTAACTCAGTTGATATGCAAGGTTTTAATGCGCTAATGATTAGTTCTTATAAAGGTCATGTCAATACCGTTAAGTTTTTATTAACAAAGTCCATTGACATACATAGCAAGTCTAAAAGTGATTCTACGGCAATCTTGTTGGCTAGTGCGCAAGGACATGTCCAAATTGTTAAATTACTACTTCAACACAATGCAAGTTTGTTTGATGTTGATAATGACGGAAACAACGCGTTACTACTTGCTGCCAAGTATGGTCATACAGAATTAGTTCAACTTCTAGTGGACAATGCTGGTGCTATTGACACGTTAAATATTTTTGGAAGAAATTCACTAATGGAAGCCGCATTAAATGGACATACGGATATAGTTAAATTCTTTTTAGCTAAAGACATTGACATCAACCTCAAAGATCTCTCTGGGTGTTCCGCATTACAACTGGCGATTAGAAACAATAACATGAAAACTGTTGAATTGTTACTAGAACATCACGCAAGGCTGCAGGATATTAAAACATTATACTTAAAAGAGAGTATGCTATTTTCAACAACTTATCAAGAAATTGATTTTAAACAAATGGTCAGACATCTAAACAATTGGAAACATTTGGATGCAACGTTACTGTTATACCGTTTTCAGATTATTTCCGCTGGTAAGTTTTCTTTTTAATGGATTAAGTTTTTTTCTTAAATCTGTTTATTTTTATTCATATTACCTTTCCTGCTGTTTTTCTCATTCTCAAAACCATATATATATATATATATATATATATATATATATATATATATATATATATATATATATATATATATATATATATATATATATATATATATATATATATATATATATATATATATATATATATATATATATATATATATATATATATACATATACGTATATACATATGTATATGTATATGTATATGTATATGTATATGTATATGTATATGTATATGTATATGTATATGTATATGTATATGTATATGTATATGTATATGTATATGTATATGTATATGTATATGTATATGTATATGTATATGTATATGTATATGTATATGTATATGTATATGTATATGTATATGTATATGTATATGTATATGTATATGTATATGTATATGTATATGTATATGTATATGTATATGTATATGTATATGTATATGTATATGTATATGTATATGTATATGTATATGTATATGCATATGCATATGCATATGCATATGCATATGCATATGTATATGTATATGTATATGTATATGTATATGTATATGTATATGTATATGTATATGTATATGTATATGTATATGTATATGTATATGTATATGTATATGTATATGTATATGTATATGTATATGTATATGTATATGTATATGTATATGTATATGTATATGTATATGTATATGTATATGTATATGTATATGTATATGTATATGTATATGTATATGTATATGTATATGTATATGTATATGCATATGCATATGCATATGCATATGCATATGCATATGCATATGCATATGCATATGCATATGCATATGCATATGCATATGCATATGCATATGCATATGCATATGCATATGCATATGCATATGCATATGTATATGTATATGTATATGTATATGTATATGTATATGTATATGTATATGTATATGTATATGTATATGTATATGTATATGTATATGTATATGTATATGTATATGTATATGTATATGTATATGTATATGTATATGTATATGTATATGTATATGTATATGTATATGTATATGTATATGTATATGCATATGCATATGTATATGTATATGTATATGTATATGCATATGCATATGCATATGCATATGCATATGCATATGCATATGCATATGCATATGCATATGCATATGCATATGCATATGCATATGCATATGCATATGCATATGCATATGCATATGCATATGTATATGTATATGTATATGTATATGTATATGTATATGTATATGTATATGTATATGTATATGTATATGTATATGTATATGTATATGTATATGTATATGTATATGTATATGTATATGTATATGTATATGTATATGTATATGTATATGTATATGTATATGTATATGTATATGTATATGTATATGTATATGTATATGTATATGTATATGTATATGTATATGTATATGTATATGTATATGTATATGTATATGTATATGTATATGTATATGTATATGTATATGTATATGTATATGTATATGTATATGTATATGTATATGTATATGTATATGTATATGTATATGTATATGTATATGTATATGTATATGTATATGTATATGTATATGTATATGTATATGTATATGTATATGTATATGTATATGTATATGTATATGTATATGTATATGTATATGTATATGTATATGTATATGTATATGTATATGTATATGTATATGTATATGTATATGTATATGTATATGTATATGTATATGTATATGTATATGTATATGTATATGTATATGTATATGTATATGTATATGTATATGTATATGTATATGTATATGTATATGTATATGTATATGTATATGTATATGTATATGTATATGTATATGTATATGTATATGTATATGTATATGTATATGTATATGTATATGTATATGTATATGTATATGTATATGTATATGTATATGTATATGTATATGTATATGTATATGTATATGTATATGTATATGTATATGTATATGTATATGTATATGTATATGTATATTGTGAGGGTGTCAGGAATCCCAAAGAAAGCACAACACGATACTATTATAAAATTCTTTATTTCACCATCTCCCGTCCTCCGGTCACAAAATACACCTCCTTGCTTTGACACTCAACCTTCAACTGTCTTCCGCATTCCTACACACCACCTTTCTCCCACTCACAACACAGCCACTGTCACCCGACCAGTCGCTTCCCTTGTACCCTCGTTCACTCCGTACAACAACAAACACATCAACACACCCGGCCTCGCATCTCACTACATGATACATACACACACGCAGTGATCCGTTCCACGTATTCACCTTTCATACACATCACATCACCACATACCCTCCATCTGTCCCTAGCTGATGCAATCAGCGGAATTATCAAAAAAAACAACAAACAAAAAAAAGAAAACCAATAACTCCACACATTATGTATATATACATAACTACGATGTTAACAGCCGCAATAGGACTGTTAAGTGATCTCTCCACTGACTTTCCGTAAGTCTGTAGTACACCGAGTGGACGCACCATATCAAACTTGTACTCTGTAAAATACACCTAGTACAAAAACATGGCATCATGTACATATTACATTCAAGGAAATAGCTACATAGTAACCCTATATAGAACATTTGAAATATGTTAAAACATCACACACAAACGACAACCGATCGTTGACTCGGCACCACCCGTAGCATACTTTTGTTGGGTACAATCCGCCTTCAGCCTCTGTAAGAATATCATCATTTACATTTCTCGTATATAACAATTAACAATAAACACAGCAAACATACATACGAAGGAAGCTTAACAAAAGGATACCGGCACTTGTTTTGACTTTGGATATGACGTCGATTTTTCTCTCCTTCGGTACAACTTGTGGAAAGACGCCATGCTACACAATGTAAATGGTAGAACGAATGTCTGACACGTGGGTTACTTACAGCTGCATTAGAAACATAGATTTGTTTCTCTCCCGATATCTGTCCATAGCTGATGTACTCAGCGGAATTAACATACAAAAAACACCAGACAACACAAAAAAAAAAAAAAAAAAAACAGATCATAGACTCGGTACAGCTAGTCACACCTTTAAGTCTCTTGAATTACATTCTCTTCGTGTTACAACACACTTGTGACTGGCGTCTAATCTGCTGGTTGAAGGGTATAGAGTTATAGTCTGCCACCCTAAGGTTTCAAGTACGTTTATACAGAACCAATGTGGTCTCTTAGTTGCGGGATAACAAATCAGCAATCCGATTTTGTGCGCCTGGAATCGGGACTATGTCGAAGTGGAAGTCTTGTAGCATCAATGACCAATCTAGCGTTCGCTAATTTCTTTGTTTTCAGTGCTTGTAAGGGTGCATGGTCCGTCTGTAACTTGAAATGGGTTCCTGCTAGGTATCTTTCCAGTTTCCTGATTGCCCAGACTATTGCTAGGCACTCTTTTTCTATGACCGCGTAATTCTTCTCAGATGGCGTCAGTTTTCTACTGATGTACTGCACCGGTAGAGTTTGGTCGCCACGTTGCTGCAGTAGGCATGCACCAATTCCAACCGAGGAGGCGTCTGTTGTTAAGATAAATGGTTTCTTGATGTCTGGTAGACTCAAGATTGGCTCTGACATAAAAGCTTGTTTTATCCAGTTAAGTGCTTGGTCACAACGTGCATTCCAGTTTATTTTACCCTTGTTGGGTCCCTTTGTAGGTTTTGTCAAATTAGTTAATGGTTCCATGATGGTGGCAAAGTCAGGTATAAATTTTCGGTAGTAGTTGCATAGCCCGATAAGGCTACGAACTTCTTTCATCGATTCAGGAATTTTTATTTCCAGTATCCTGTTTACAGTGTCTGGGATTGGTTTTTGCTGACCATGTGCGATTTTATAACCAAGGAATTCTATTTCCTCCATTCCTATTTCCACTTTGCTAGGTCTTGCTGTCAGTCCGTGTTGCTTCAGACGTTCTAGCAACGTTCCAAGTCCCTTTACATGATCCTGCCACGTCTCATGGAACAGACAAATATCGTCTATGTAGGCGATAGTGTCGTCCCTTCCTTCTAAAACCCTTCTCATCAGTCTATTGAATGTAGCGGGTGCATTTATCAGTCCAAAACTCATATATTTCCACTGGAATAGACCAAACGGCGTTATGAATGCCGTAAGATGCCTTACGTCTTTCTTTATGGGGATCTGCCAGTATCCACGCGTCAGATCTAGTTTCGTAAAATATCTCGCATTCGCGAGCTTGGCGAATAGTTCCTCTGGGTTTGGCATCGGCTCGGCATCTGCAACGGTGATGCTATTTAGTTGCCGATAGTCTACACATATTCTGATTTCATTTGACTTCTTTTTAACTAGTACAATAGGTGCCGCATACGGGGAGTCCGAGTGTTCTATAATTCCTGCTTCCAACAGTTCATTGATTTGTCTCTGTACCTCCTCTCTATAATGGAGGGGGACGTTATACGGTCCAACTTTGGTGGGTTTTGTTGATGTCAGTTTAATGTCGTGAACAATAGTGTTTGTTTTGCCTGGTTCCGCGGATAACGTTTCACCTAATTCTTCAATCAGCAGTTTGATTTCTTGTTTTACCTCAGGGGGTGCCTCTCCGATCTTAATATCTCGCCAGGATTCCAACTTATCGGGGAATGTCTGAATTGTGTCATTCAGTTGTGTCCCATCTTCTTCATGTATGATAGCACAGTTTATTATTTCCGGTGTTTGTAGTATCTCAGGTCTCAGTGTAAACGGGCTCAATATGTTCACATGCAGGACTTTTTTTCTACCGTTTATCTCGACCTCATAGTCCACATTTGTCACTTTCTTAGTGATATTAAATGGCCCGCGCCATGCCAATTGTAGCTTATTTTGTTTGGAGGGTAGCAATACCCTGACCTGTTCCCCTACCGCGAATTCTCGTAATTTTCTCTTTCTGTT